ATGTGTTGTTGGCATCAAATTCAAAATGGGCATATATTTTAAAAAAAAATTATGAAATTTGTCAGTGTCAACGTTTGCTATGTTGTCTTTGTACTATTTTCAATGAAATATAGGGTTTAAATGGTCATTGCATTTTCTTTTGACCTACATTTTCCAACTTTTTTGGAGACAAGGTTACATTACGATTGTCTCTAGGGAATGAAAAACAAGTATAACTTTTTTTTTTTTTACGAAAATCAAGTTACTAGTGCTTGCAAAGCCTTTGGCAAGGAAAAAAGAACGAAACAGCACTTCTTGTCTTTAAAAACTCAAAAAATCTCAAATATAAATATTAAATTATTGGCTGAAATAAATTACTGCCTATCTGAATTTTCAGTCCTCTAAACTCTATGATTTTTCATGTCGGTCAGGCGCTGATGTAGAGGAGTGTGTGCTAAGTTGCATATGTCATTATCAGGACGTGCTGAATCTGAGAATCCATAATCCTTGATGCATTGACAAAACTGATCATGTAAAGGGGGAAAGGCCCTAATAGGTGTGAAAGGGTTCAGCAAAACAAAAGGTCATTTAGGTGAATAAGTCTGTCATTCTGAAGGCTGGATATGAGTTGGCTCTAAAGTGCAGTGCCACACAGAATGCTGTAGTGAGTCTGTTGTGGCAGAGTTTCCGATTTCAGCCTTATTGCTTCCGACAGGTGGACACAAGTCGGTCCCCAAACACGTCATCAAGTGCATTGTGGGTCATAAATAATGCATTCCACCTGCCCTTGCTTTTCTTAGTGCTGAATAAGTAAAGCATTCCACCCAGGTGGCAGGGCACGCTGGGTTAAAAAAAAGGGTCTGGGGAGAATGTGTTCTGGGGAACAGAGGCAGATGTGGTGTGCAGAAGTAACCTGCTAAAAAAGTCATCAGGATTCCAGTATATGACGTTTCCCAAAAGAGTTGGGATGCTGCGCAAAATGTCAATAAAAACAGAATGCAATGAGGTGCAAATCATTTAAACCCTATATTTAACTGAAATTAGTATAAAGACAACATAACAAATGTTAAGACAGAGAAATGTTATAGTTTTTGAAAAATATATGCCCATTTTGATACTGATGCCAGCAACACATTTCAAAAAGGTTAGCTAAACTAACAGGTCAGTAATGTGATAGGGTGTAAAAAGAACATCCCAGAGAGGCTGAGTCTTCAGAAGTAAAGATGGGGAGGGTTCACCACTCTGTGAAAGACTGAGCAGGAAAATAGTGCACCAATTTAAGAATAACATTTCTCAATGTGAAACAGTAAAGAACTTTTGCTTTTCATCATCTACAGTACATAATAACATTAAAAGATTTAGAGAACCTGGAAAAATCTCTGTATGCAAGGGACAAAGCCGAAAACTAAAACTATTGGCTGGCCGTGATCTTCGGGCCCTCAGGCGGCACTGCATTAAAAACAGACAAGATTCTCTAGTTGAAATCACTGCATGGGCTTGGAAACACTTCAGAAAATCACTGTCTGTGAAAACAGTTCATCACTGCATCCACAAATGCAAGTTAAAACTCTACCATGTAAAGAAGAAACCACATATAAACAGGATCCAGTAACGCCACCGCCTTCTCTGGGTCTGAGCTCATTTAACATGAACTGAGGCAAAATGGAAAAGTGTCCTGTGGTCTGACGAATCAAAATTTGAAATCCTGGACACTGTGTCCTCCAGGCCAAAGAGAAGAGGGGCCATCTGGCTTGTTATCAGTGCACAGTTTAAAAGCCAGTATATATACAGGTTTTAGAGCGAACATATGCTGCCATCCAGACAACGTCTTTTTCAGGGAAGGCCTTGCTTATTTTAGCAAGACGAAGCCAAACCACATTCTGCATGTATTACAACAGCATGGCTGTATAGTGAAAGACTCTGGGCGCTAAACTGGCCTGCAGTCCAGACCTGTCACCATTGATAACATTTGGTGCATTATAAAATGAAAAATACGACAAAGTAAACTCTAAACTATTGAGTAGCTGAAATCCTGTATCAAGCAGGAAAGGGAAAACATTTCACTTTCAAAACTACAGCAATTGGTCTCCTCAGTTCACAAACGCTTACGGAGTGCTGTTAAATAAATGGGTGATGCAGCACCGTGGTAAACAGGCACCCCCGTCCCAACTTTTAAAAATATGTTGCTGACATCAAATTCAAAATGGCCACATATTTTTTTTCAAAACACAATAAAATTGCTCAGTATCAACATTTGATACGTTGACTTTGTAATATTTTTAATTAAATATAGGGTTTAAATAATTTTTACATCATTGCATTCTGTTCTGATTTACATTTACATTCCAACTTTTTTAGGAATAAAGGTTATATTACGACTGTCTCTAAGAAATGAAAAACAAATATAGAATTTCTTTTTCAAAAATCAAGTTACTAGTACTTGCAAAGCCTTTGGAGATGATAAAAAAGCCAAAAACAGCACTTCTTGTCTTTTTTTTGCTTTCTTAGTTTGGAACTCTAACCAAAGTAAGAAAAACAAGTCTTACACCTATTACACTCTAGAAGACAATGAATGTAACCATTCTCATATGATATAGTTAGAGTGGCAGTAAATGTAACCAAATGTATACTTATCAGATGAATGCTGAAACTAAATGCTATCCCAAATACACGATTTGTGAAAATCAATCATGTCTTATCAACTGATTCTGAAAGTGAAACAAACATTTCCTCTTCCACAGAAAGCTCATGGATCTAACTCCTCTGTAGCGAATGACAAATTAATATTTTTCCCTTGACCAACCTGCATATTAAAGACCAGTTTCATCAGAAACTCCCAAAGACATCCATTAAAAATCTCCAGGCCCTTACGTATCCAACGCATCATAAAAACGGTGATTGATGCTTTCGCTGACATAAGCGAGGAAGTACTACAGCTGAAAGCAGAAGTGCAAGGCATACTGTGTCACGAATCCTGAAAAGATGAGCTCAGTTTTAGGTCTTTTCCCTCAACCTTTGTGGGATAAGAAGCGAGTGTTCATCACTGACACAACAGAGAAAACAGTATGAAAGAGAAAGCCAAAGACCCAACAGAAACTGCAGGCCTGGCAGAGACAGGAGGCCCAGGTTACAGAAGGAGAATAATGGGTGAGAGGAAAAAGAGGAAACAGTCCTCTTCGCGGTACACATGGTCTGCATTTATCTCACCTCAGTTTTTCTCCCTACTTTATCGCTTTAGCAGGTTTTGATATGTCATGCTGGAGTCACTCTGGTTTTAGTGAGGTCCACTGAGCTTCACAAGGCCAGCATAAAAACAATGCGGTATGAAACTTTATCCAGACTAAAAACCTGCTGCATGTCATAAACATATATATATATATATATATATATATATATATATGTATATATATATATGTATATATATATATATATATATATATATATATGTATATATATATATATATATGTTTTTGACATAATTTGAAAATACCAATTACCCTTTACATCGTATGTAAATTTCATGATGAATGGACCCCAAATGACTTGGGGGAAAAAGTCTGGTTCCATTGACCTACATTAAAAGTAAAGTAGATTTTTTCCTTCTCCTGTAAAGTTACCATTTTGGAGATATGAGGTTTTCTTCTGACAACAGCGATATATATATATATATATATATATATGACATGATTGCACCAAATTCTGTCTGTGTGCCTCAGCAGAAATCTAGATTCATCAGACCAGACTATGTTTTTTCTTCCAGTCTTCAACTGTCCAGTGTTGGTGAGCCTGTGCCCACTGCAGCCTCAGCTTTCTGTTCCTTGCTGACAGAAGTGGAACCTGACATGGTCTTCTGCTGTTGTAGCCCATCCACCTCAGCATGCAAAGTATTGTGCATTCTGAGATGCTGACAATAGTGGTTATTTGAGTTACTGCAGCCTTTCCTTCAGCTCAAACCAGTCTGGCCATTCTCTGCTGACCTTTCCCAACAAGGTGCATCTGTCCGCAGTTACAGAAACGCTCAAACATTTTTTCACCATTTTGATGGTTGATATGAACATTACCTAAAGCTGCTGGCCATGTCTGCATGAGTTTATGCACTACTGCCACATAATTGGCTGAACAGATAATTGTCTACCTACTTAAATGTAATAATATGTCCCATATGTATTACTTATATGTAAGTACCTATATAAAATAGTAAGTACATAAGTATCAATATGTAATAAGATCTGTTTCTAAACCTAAACCTAACCATAATATCAGTTAAAAAAAATTAAAAGTTTTTCCAAGATATGAGATTTTGTGACAACAGCGACAATATATACACACATACATACATACATATACTATTTTTCCAAGTTATTTTGGACCACTTCTGTTGGTCTGCTAATTAGGAAAATTTGACACACCGTAAAGGGTAACTGCCTTTTTCAAAATATATATGAGATATGAGGTTTTGCCCCGACAGCAACGATATGTAAGTACCTAAATGTAGTAATATGCTCCACAGGTATTTTATATATCATCACTGTTGGTAATATAACCTTGTAGCTCCAAAGCTTTTCAGGAGAAAGGAAGATGTTCTTAGCTTGTAATGGAGGTTACTAAAACATGATTTTATTACTGAGATCATTTCTATTACATTCATCATTACATTTACAAGCATTGTAAAAGGGCAGCTGATATTTTCAAAATCTGTCAAAAATTGGAGATGAAAGGTTTTGTTCCAACACTGACAATATATATGTAACTACTGATATGTAATGATAATATGTTCCATATGCATTGTAGAGATGCAAGTATCTGTATATTATAATTTTCTAACCCTAAAGATTTCTTTCCAAACCTAAAATCTAACCTCAGTACAACCAAGGCATAGTTTCACCCTTTCAGTTTTAAAAATGAAAAACTGAGTACTTTACAAAGTCTGGAGAGTTTTGGTGGTTCTGATATTGTAGGTTAGCTCTGTTTTTCCTATGCAGTATGTATGAAAGCACACAGGCTTGCACAGACACACTCACCAGGTCTGCCACAGGAGACTTCTTGCGGTTCTGTTTCTCCACTTCCACTTGCATCTTGGCCATGGGTTTGGCCATGGCCAGCGCCAGCTTAGCCTCTGCCTGCAGCTTCTTCTGCCTGCTGAGGAAGTCCATGTCCTCCAGAGACTCAGAATCATCCTCCGTGGTGTCACGGTCTGAGTACGAGGAACTCTGCTTGCTCTGCAAGACATGATAAAGTGAGAGGATGCAAGGAATTAGAGCATGTGTGGGGGGATTGACGGATAAACACAATGACTCACTGAGAAAAGATGAAAGAGGCCAGTTCAGAGAAGGAGGAGAAAAAACAGACGACTATCCTATGACAATGTAAAGTGAAATAAAGTCCCTGCTAAGAAGCATAAGCAATTAAAAACTTGTCACAAGATTGTCTGATTCATACATGGGACATATCGATAAAATTACAATGCGCTGAAATTATTCATGAGCGGTCTGAGTGTCAGTATGCACGTCTGAAGGTCAGGTGACGAGACAGGAACAAGATGAGACAGATGGCACTGAGCAGTTTTTAGCCAAAATCCCTCTCTTTCACTCCCTCTCTCTCCTAAAGCTGTCAGGAAGCTCGGGGGTCCAGTGATCCGTGTCTGTCACCGGCTATGCTGAATAATCAGATCTCATTTGCTTTGCCTGTTGAGGTCAACCATCCAGAAAATGGCCATCAAGCACCATTCTTGTCCCACAAGTTGTGGTAAAAGGAAAAAGACTGCCTGCTCAACTCGCAACTCCAGCAGGCCTGACTGATCTGAGATCTCTACAGATTCCCTTAACCTAGGGTTTGGACGAACTACCGGTACCTGTATTCATAATTAAGGCTCTATTAAGCCTTAAAGGTCAAGAATTACTGCTTTTGTTCCGCTACACTAAATAAAATAGATAAAAATAATAAATATAGAGGACGAGGTGATGTTTATTCTGTTCTGGGATGCTGCAAAGACAGCTGTGTGCCAAACTTAAAAAAGGTGGTTATCAAGGGTTCTTTAGTAAAGGCAGTGGTTCTTTACAGAACATGAACACTGAAAGAACCATTTGCATGCATAAAGGGCTGTTTGCAAGGTGAACACATACAGTGTGTTGTATATGGTTCTATGTAGAACCATTTTGAAAATAGTTCTATATAGCACCAAAAAGGTTCTTCTATTGTTCCAAGCTTGATATCCTAACAGTATCACAACCCATTTTGGTGGTATATAGAACCACATACAACAAGTTCTCCATTAATCTCAGGAACCATTTCACTCTGCAAAGGAGTTCTTTGAGTGTTCATGGTTCTACACTGAACCACTGTCTTTACTAAAGAGCCTTTGATGAACCTCCTTTTTTAAAACTGTAGTCATAAAATCACAGACTTGCCAGCTCTTCATGTGCTAATGCTAATTTCCATAAGCCAGTCAATAAGAATCCCTATATAATGTTAGCATTAAGCTAACAATTCTGTCCATTCAAGTTTTTCAGCACACTCTGCCTTAAACATGGACAATTAAAGGCTGAAACAGACATTAGACAATTTCTTTGCTTAGAGTTTTACAGTCTGTATTATTGAATTAGCCACTAATTCACAAACTACAGTTTGGTGCTTGTTGTGTTCAGCCATCGATGTCTCACAGCGCTCAAATGTTTAACCTGTTCAGAGCCGAATTATGCTCCAACAAATAATGATGATCTGGCTCTATTCTGATTCTAAAGAGCGATAAATGATGATAAATCAGATGTTAATATTTGTTTATAATTGCTTCTGTATTGAGCGAATTGGTTCTGTAGAGCAGCACTGGTAGTACTGTGTAATAATTTTAGGAGGTAATCCTTCAGACTTTACATATTCAATTACATAGTGAGTTACACAGTGATTTACATTTACATTCAAATTACATCTTGGACCAGCTTTGAATCTGCATTTCTGACTTTTTTCTGCTTGTTTCAAAGTCAAAAATGACAAAAACATGGCAAATAAAAGGATAAAAGATATTTTATAAAGTCTTGCGGACACATGATCAGAATCAGCACATTTTTACTTTGGACACATGAACGAACAGATGATTATTTTGATTTTGGTAGATAATTATTTGATTTGGCACATCATTTGATTTAAAATTTATTATTATTATCAATATTATACAACAATGTAACAGCCATTTGGCAATAGGCCAAGCTCAGTATCTGCACTTTCTTCCCGCTTATTTCAACAATTGACAATAATTAACTAATTAACATAGAACTATGCTTTGGTCATTACCAAAACTTATACGTTTCTCTGAAGTGTTTAGAGTTTCATTCTTATGCAAGGCTAAGGGTGAAGTCACATCCCCCTCGTGGTGGGAATGTGCTCGTGACCACAGGTTTTCCGTAGGTTTTTCCTTGTAATATGGCTGAAAATATATTTCAATAACCACCACTTCTATTTTAAGTAAAATTGGGCAAAAAATCACATGATTAAGAAACCTAAGTCCGTCTCCGTCTGCCACACAGCGACAGACATTACAGTAACTTAGCCAAAACATCTGATGGGAAGTTTTGGGTTCACAACCACATCACAAAGCAGGGGCATTCTGGTTCAGGCTGTTTCTGTCGAGACACCTTTCATTATGAGAAGTGAAGTGAACTGAATTAAGACACAAGTATCTATACTGGCCAACATGCTGCTCATGGCTATAATGAACAAACAGGTGTTTGATTCTCACTGGAATTCTTAGGCTTTGTTCACACAGCAGGTAAAAGTGGCCCAAATCCGATCTTTTTCTTCATATGTGACACAGATGTGTGTCAGTGTGAACTGACAAACACACTGAATCTGACATTTTCAATTCCGAGTTGAGACGGTTTCATATGTGGTACTGAAATCTGATACGTATCCAATCTGCGGATCAGCCAGATCAGCATTCACGCGACTTTTACGTCAATCCAGCTCAACATTCATCATCGTTTCGCACTGCTGAGACCTCATAAATATTTGGGCTGATGTTTCTGTACAAAAAATTAGAACAGACTTATCACAACCGCTCTGTGTTCGAAGAGATTTTGAAAGAAATGGTTGAACATGGCCGTAGGAGAAAATGGCTGCAGCATTGAAGAAAAGTCTGAAAACAAAAATAATCTGAGGATGCAAACCAAAGAAGTGGCCCTTTTACAGCGAGTTCGAACACATTCTGGGTGATGAGCCCAGCTGTCAGCCATTAGGACTACATGATGGCTCCTGTGATGCTGGTGAAGACGAAACTGAACCCTCCGGGAGTGACTGGCATTCGTTGGCGGTCGTGATTGTTTACCTCTGGATGAGCCACGTGAAGCAACGTGACACATTGTTCTTTTGCTCATGTGGGTCAGTTTAGGAGCTGATCTGTTCAGACTGATGTCGCATACAGATTACAAATAAAAGATATTGTAAAGAGCCAAATAAAAAAAAATAAAATTTTGGTGAGAAAATCAGATTTGGGCCACTTTTACCTGCTGTGTAAATGTAGCCAAATAAAGCTTTTAACTGTAGCTTTAAATTATTAGCAGTTAACCGTTTTGGATGGGTCCTTGATTTAAGGCTAGAGAGATAATGAATAATCACTGACTACTGATTCATGGTTGAAAAATAATTGCCAATTTTTTTTTCCTTGCAGTATTTATTTTTTTGAACGACTGTACTTGGCAAAAATCAGACACTACCCTTCATTCAGTTAATTTCCAGTCAAAATGCCCGTTAAGTACAAAGTATTCATTTTTCAGGATTAGATTAGATATAAGACAAAGCACTGGAGTGAAAAAGTTAAAGGAAAATAACAAGTGAAAAAAACGAGTTTCCAAAATTGGAGTTGAAAACGTTAAAAGCTACAGCGCAAATGGAGCTCCTAACAACCACCTGGAAGACCTGGTGGATCAGCAAAACTGCCCCCATCAGATAAACAGCACTTAAAGCTTTCATCTTTGAGAGAGAGGAGAAAATCAAGCTGCAGCTGCTTCAGATCTGAAAACATCCACAGGTGTTTCTGTCCATCCTTCCACTGTGAGAAGACGACTCAGCGCCATGGGTCTGAAAGGATGTGTAGCTGTCACGAAGAACCTCACTGAGAAAAGGAGACGGACACACCAAACAAAAAAGCTGAACAATGGACTGACCACCCCAGAGTCCAGACCTCAGCACCACTGAATGTGTTTGATTACTTCAGAAAATGATCAACCAGCTTCTAAGACTGAACGTTGGTGGTGTGTCTGCAGATTTCTTTGTAAACCTGAAAGCGAATATCCTGAAATTTTCTGTTAAATGTAAAACTTTTTCTTATGCTTTCTTGTCTTTACTGGCCATTTTAATGGAAATGAAATAAATTAAAAGTGGTCTCTGACTTGTGCACAGTACCGTACGCCTGCCTGTCACTGCCTTTCTTAGATAATTATGGTTCTACTTGATTGATTGACTGGGTGATATACTTATAGCCTCTGTGTATTTGCGTGTGCGTGTTTACCATCGGGGACAGAGGTGTGTCCAGGCTGGTCTCTGTCTTGCTGTCATCTGCATCGCTGTCTTTGTCACTCCCGCTGTCATTGACGAAGCAGATCTGCAGGTTCATGCCACTCTGTAGCCTGCAGAACACACAGACACAGACAGGTAAACACACAGACATACAGATCTCAGATCAGTTCATTTGCAGATGTTGCTCATGCTGACAGTAAGTCATGCTTTAATGAGTGACCTGAGTAAATGTTTCCTACTAGTCATAGTGTGTTCTCTCTGCTCGTCGTTTCCTGCTTAGGCAGGAAGTAAGGGGTTCACTGGCACCCCCAGAAAGTGTAGGACGTCAGATGTGATGGAGCAATGAGCAACTCTGCCATCATGGGAACTGTTCTTGTGGCCAGCCACTGGACACTCGATGAGATCCACCTAGTAGTGGGCAGTATGGCCAGTAATTTATGTCACGGTATGATTAAGATTTCTGTTGGTTTCTGTACATACAAAGATGATATATGAGGTAAACCGAGATGGTGCATGACTATTCAAATCAATGGGGCCAGAAGGGGTTCAGTTCCTGTGGGTTTAAGTCTTACACCAACCGCTCTGCCCCGTCTGTCTCCAGGGCAACAGCAGTGGCTTGTGCAGAAAGACTGGGCAGCTGTCTGAATAAACCCAGGACAAAACTTAAAACTAAAAAGTTTTTTCTTAAAATCAGCGCATTGGAAAATTAGCTTTAGGGGGGATGGGGCCTCGAGTCTCTGTTGCCTGCCTAAAGGGAAATGAGTCCCCCCTTCCCACTCGCCAAAACCATGTGACTGCGTTTCCGGAAATATTTTGACATAGCGCCTCTCACTTCATGTTTCCTGTAAGGTATATATCATGGTATAAGGATCACTAAACACATCAGTTTAATTGTTAAATTGCAGTTCCACAGTAATAAAACTATTGAAAAAAACAATTAAGTACTCATCAAGTACTAAATCACTGCTGTCGGAACAAAACCTTTACAGGAGAAGGAAAAAACATACTTTTACACTTTTAATGGAAGTCCATGGAACCAGACTTTTTTCCCCAAGTCATTTTGGGCTGTTTCTTTTGGTCCATTCATCATGAAGTTTACACACAATGTAAAGAGCAACAGGTGTTCTCAAATCATGTCAAAAACTGAAAAACGACAAAAATGGAGATACAAGATTTTGTTCCGATAACAGTGATAAATTAAAATGGTTTATGTTATGATTTATTTAAACCCAAAGCATTAATAGAGATAGTAATAAGCTAAATATATACAAAATCATCATTTTAAAGCCCGTGTCAAACACAAGGCCTGCGGGCCAAGTCAGGCCCGTGACACAGTCCTGTTTGGCCCATGAAATTATTTTAATTTTTCTATTCTTATGAGCCTGGTTCACCCTGAGATGCATTACAGTCCCCAGCATGCACTGAAACATAGTGTGTGTTCTGACGCCCAACAACAATCCGTGGGTCAGCGGTTACACAAAAAGAACAAATGCCTGGTGTCTAGTTAAAGCAAATAGGCAATTTAAAAAATACGTAATTTATTTTTATTTAGAAATATTTTATGCATATTTTGCTGTTGCAGTTCTGGCATATTTTGAATAAACAATGGCTGGTTCAGGTCATGGCAAAATGTTAAGTAAAAGTTAAATAAAAACAAGCTGGCCCACAGATTTGCCGAGATTATGGCCCGTTTAGTGGTTCAGTTTGACACCCCTGATTTATAGGGTGCTTGCTATTGGGAGGTATCTGTCCCAAACCATATAATAAAATATTCATAAATTATTATACATTTTTTTTCACCAAAAAAATATTTTTGTCAAAATAAAACTTACGTTTTTTCCAATGTTTATTTTTAATTTAATTTCTTTTAAAGTGAAAGTTGAAAGATTTAGATTTTTCATGAGTTTTTCATGTGACTACCGAAAAACAGAGTTTTAGTCTGTGGGAGGAGCCTTATTTTAGCCCATACATTTTAGAGCAGGAAGTGATACTGCATCCCTGTCCCACATGGTGAGCCGTTAGATCTCATTGTTTTGAAGTAAATGTGTCCCAAAGTCTGAATATCAGTGTTCTATTGACTCATTAGTCTGTGTACTTTCTCCCTCCTTCTGAGGTGAAACAGAGTGTTCGAATAGAATACCGAGACCACGAACGTTTTGGTCGACACCGGATAGCAAACAATAACAGAAGAGCAATGTGAGCAGAGAATAAGGTTTGACCATCAGTATAAGATACAGAAAAGAGGAAAAGCAGGAGAAGCAATGGGCATCATCAGGAGGGTCAGTTCATGCAGGTGAGGTTTGCACAGCGTTGCGTACAGCAGGAAGCTTTATGGTGGTCAAACTGGTTTAAAAATCCATAAAAATAAAAAATGTTCTGTAATTCTCATTTTTAAAAGACGAGAAAAGAAGAAAACGGTCCAATCAAATCAAGAGAGTAGCAGCGCTCACATAAAATAAGCTCATTATTAATGCTGTACTACTAATATACTTTAGCCCTCTCTTACGATAAACATCACAGATACTCAGAACAGCATAATGTAATATATTCCAATAACGATAACCACGGTAACACTGCTCAGTCCTGCTGGAGCGCATGCCAGCCTGCTCTGTGGTGCCAATCAGTTAATTACTGTGTTCTACATGTGGGTTCAGATCTACTACTGATGGTGGTAACTGATATGCATCGTGAAGGTCTGCGGCTCACACACTTCATGTGAAATGGATATGACTTGCTTCTGTGGAATCGTGCAGCCCCCACTCAGACAGCTGAGGTGTGTAAATATCTATATTTATAGAAATATATGACTGTGCGAGTAGCTTCTCTTTTGGGAAGAGGGTGTGAGCGGGATGTACAGACAGAGGGGAAGTCCTCCTGTTTGTTCTTCGAGAGACTCTTGACTCTGAAAGTACTTCCTTTTCTGTGTACCACAAACACACTTGTTTTTGTACGATGTATATATATATATATATATACATATATATATATATATATATATATTATTTTGTGTACATTGTGTGAAAGTTTCATGACAATTCGACCAATAGAAATTATTAATAATTATTTATAATAAATTAATAACATATTGTTATATCTGTGCATTAACTTCCACTGAAAGTAATGAATGTTTTTCCTTTTTAAGTTTATATTATATTCAATATATATTAATAAATGTTAATCTAATTATTCTATTATGTATTGTCATATTGTTGCTGCTGGAAGAAAACTTTGTATATACATACATATGTGTACAGATATAAATATATACATACATATATGTGTGTGTTAATGTTATTTATATAGTGTATACACACATATATGGGTATGTGTGTATATATATATATATATATATATATATATATATATATATATATATATATATGCACTAAATTCCACTGAAAGTTAAGAATGTTTTTCCTTTTGAAGTTTTGTCCCAACGGTCATGATATGCATTACATTCTTGTAAGTATCTACAATATTACATTTCTATAAGCATCTAAACAATGTGGTCCTTTTTTTAATTTCATTTTAATTCAGTGTGTTATGATTATTATTTTTGTTAGTAGTAGTAGTAGTAGTAGTATTACTTTTATTATTATAATTATTATTATTAGCATAAACCGAACCTCAAGCTTGGAAAAAGCTTCCAGTTAAAAAAAAAGTTAGTAAGTTCTTGTGAAATGAACTTTTCAAAGTCAGGAGCATATTTTTTTGCCTGGTTTTCATATAATGTCAGTGTATAAACATGTATAAACACACACACACACACACACACACACACACACACACACCATAAGGTTTCAAAGCACACGCTGAAATAACCAGAACTACACTACAGGCCTCTTCCCTCATTTTCACTGTCTCATGTGATTAAACACAGAAGCTGGAATGAGACACCGTTTAAGAAAAAACCCAATAAGAGTGCAGCACTCAGCTCGCTACAGTTAAAGTCCCCAGATGGGACACCAGCGCGTGACTTACAGGAAAACGCTGTGTGCTGCGAGCTGCTTGTAAAACCAGATCAGAATTCACGCTAGAAAGTGACCAGAACTCATTTCACTTGTGTGACTCAGCTGAGTAATACTGCGGCGAGTGAGTTGAGAATGAAATCAGTGACAGTAATTTCACATTCACTCAGTTTAGCCCCGTCCTAATGAGATCAATTCACTGAGACCAACTTAAAAAATGAGAAAAACACTTTCTCACGGTGTTACAGACAGATGCACGTACAGACACTGGTGAAAGTGCTCTGAATTTACATGAATTCAGTACCTTACAACACAAGCCTTTCAGTTTATTTATTGATCACTGAGTTGATGACAGTATAGGAGGGTTTTTTTAATTATTAAATGAACTGAACTTCCAAGAACTGCTCTTAGATGAACGAGGACGAAATTACTGTCAGTGATTTCATTCTTAATGATCGCCACACTGCAACATTACCACGTGAACAAATACATGACATCAACACAGTGATTGCCAAGTGAACCGAAAGACAACATTGTGCTGTTTTATGCCAGTTAGTTCCGATTTTGCAACGTGATAATGGCACTCTGACCGAATCTCTGTAACCTAGCAACAAGTTGTTAAAAACAGTAATGGTCACAAAAATTTTGATTAATTATAAGTAAAAATGCTGCAAAATCGAATTATAATGTCTAAGCTCTGTAAAGCCTGAGTAGACTGATAAATCAATGTGATGTTCAGTTATTAATCTCAGTGTTACTAAGTTTTTTTAAAGGCATGATCAAATTAATAATCTCCTCATTAGTGTGGTTATGAGTGACAAGTTTAGCATCTGTGTTGTAGTGGACTCCTGTGCTGGGAATAGTCGTGGACTGAAGGTTAGAGAACCAGCCTTGTGACCGGAAGGTTGCCGGTTCGATCCCCTGAGCCGACAGTATGTGACTGAAGTGCCCTTGAGCAAGACACCTAACCCCCAACTGCTCTCTGTGCTGCGGATAGGGCTGCCCACCGCTCCGGGCAAGTGTGCTCACTGCCCTGTTGTGTGTGTGTTCACTAGTGTGTATGAGGTGTTACACTGCATGGATGGGTTAAATGCGGAGGTGAAATTTCCCTATTGTGGGACTAACAAGGGTCACTTAACAAAATAAATACATGAAGAAAACTAAAACTGCCACCCAGTGCCGTGAAAAAAGTTTTTCCCATGTATTTTACCAAGATGTTTTCTTAATGTATTGTAAATATATTCTGAATATATTACTTTACTATGTATTGTAATTGAATATGTCACTAAATACATTTGCTACAGTGTATTCAATATTCAGGCAACACTACTTTTTCAAAGTATTTTTGCTCAACCCTGTACATCACAATATGCTTTTCTGGCTATATCAATGAGTAAGTACAGGGGAATTTCACAAAATTTCTGCATAATTCAGTGGGTAAAATGTAAACAGTCATTTAGAGTGGTTTGGTGCTAAATGCTCCGTTCTAGCGAAACTTATCGAGTCAGAACTGTTTACAGAGGTGGCGACAGGAACCAGAGGTTTTGATAATCACTCTGCAAATACAACCATTTTATTTACCATCCAAAACCACCAGTGAACCGACATGTGTCATCTGAGCTTTATATGGAATGTTGATGGTGAAGTAATGATAAATCAGAAAAAAATGTACGTTTCAGGCCAAAAATCGTCTTACAACTATGTAAGACATCAGGCAGTGAATTCATAACCATTTCATGTAATAACTTTCTGTGAGGGAGCTTTTAGAGGTGGACGTCTGGTTCCTATCACCACCACTGTGAACAATTCTGACTGTCTAAGTTTCTCTAGAACAGAGCGTTTCACACCAAACCACTCTGAATGACTCTGTTTACATCTTAATCCTTTGATTCTGAGGACATTTGGAATAACTGGTCGAATTACCCTGAACAACTATATTTCATTACAAAGAGAGCATCAGCAGTCCTGATTGACTTGATTTAGTTCAATGCAATGTGTGAAACACTGACTAAAAATCATTCGTATGTATTCACAGTTTTTGATTGTCTTTTTTTAAAATGCTGATATTTATGATTCAGATATCATAACGCATCCCTAATATTTTATTAATGTAGAAAAGACGCACACGTGAACCAAGTGAATCCAAAGCAACACTTTTTTTGAGTTTGCTGACACTCTTACCGTGAGGACAGGCTGGGTTTGCCGCTCTTGCTGCAGCTGGTATAGATGCCAGGCCCATCGTCAAAGAAACTGCCCAGGGCCAGCTTCTGTCTGATGGACTCTCGCTCATTCTTTTGGGCCTGAGGGAGACACACAGAGGGAGAGAGGGAATTTAATAAACTGTGTATGCTTTAGGAGTCCAGCAGATGGCACCATTGAGTCATTAAGCAGGAGCTGTATTAAAGGAAAGGCTGAGTCAATAATGATAATGTTGGTAGCAATGAAAGTGGAGGCTAAATGGTGATGAATGGCCCCACAATTTGATTTGTTTTTAGGAAATTATTAAAAGCATGATGGATTCTCAAATCTCACCATGATTTACTGTGCACAATTCATTTCTTTTAAAATACAATGAAGACACAAATGCGACTGAAGGAACTAGTCATATAGTAGAAATACGGACCATAAAAACAACACACCATGGTTTTTGGATCAGTTTCATGTATGAAAAGAATGAGAAAATTATAATATTCCAATATCGGAGCAGCAGAATATCTACAGACTGAAGCTTCACAATGAATCGTTGCTTTTTTACACCCATACAACACCTCATAACGGCTTCAGACACATGAACGAAGGACAGCATACAGTCCTATTAGGTCAAAACTGCCGACCAGTTCTTAAAGAGTTGATACCGGAAATTAAACTACATACAGTCCACATATGGAAACTGACGAGAGGACAAAGGACCAGAACCTTTGACACCAGAAAACAGGAATGGTGCTTTGTTTATTGGCCATCAGTCTCATATCAAAGGTATCTGCTCAAGAGTGGTCAAGTCTCTGATCATTTTTTACTCTTCCAGATGAGGAAAAATTCACCAAGCACTATAATATCACCAATAAATGCACCAGAATGTAAACTAGAATGGTATGTTGATGTGTCAATAGCTATTTTCAAAATTATCACTTCGTAAAGAGGTTGCAATGGTGACATTAGCTAGTTAAACTAACATTATAAGCAACTATGCTAATAATATGAGGTTTTGCTTATGTTTTCTCACTCAAATATAAGGTTTGCTTGGTTCTACATATGATTCCAAGTAAATGGAGACATTTTTGTGAAAGTGTGAGATCACATCAGTGCAGGATATTGTTTCATATCAGCAAATATGTTAAGCTAGCTAACAAAGAAGGTGGCTAATTAGCCAAACTGGATGCTCTAGAGCAGCATAAAATGACCAAAAAGACATTTAAACCATTAACTGTGGTTATATTGGTTCCAGCTGTCTCAATTAACGAGAACCAGAACCATGAGTTTTGTTATTTCCCGTTTGGGTCAATTCCTTTTTTTAAAAAGTGCAGTGGAAAAACATGCTATGCTGCAAAAATGGTCTGATTTGAACTGTTGAACTGTTATTGTGGATTTACAAAAACAACACATTTCCATATATCCCATCTGTCCTGCAGCACTTTAGCTCCGCCCACTCACACTGAAATTCTACCAGCATTTCGAATGTTCCTGCTAAACTTGAAAGGACTACAGTGGATTTGTATGGAAAATGCTGAGCAGTTCGGACTGTAACAGCAGACTTGACTGCAGTGGACACTTTAGAGGGCACTCATGTCCATGTAGGAGAGATATTTGATTAACTGCACAGTTGAGTACGTATTGATCCATGCCATATTGTGTAGTAACAGATATGATTAGCTCTGTATGTAAGTGATCCAGTAGCTGGACACAGGGGAGGGAGAGAGAGAGAGAGAGAGAGCGAGAAACAGAAAGCCTGAAGGTTTTTCATTATCGCACACATGAAAGCTGAGCCTCCCGGATGCCTCTGCTATCATTACTTTTCCTTCTCGGAAAACATGCTGTTCAAATAACTTTCTGTCGAGCTCTGCGATCCACAGAGCGTCTGTGTTATTTGTCCTATTTGTGAAGTAAAATTTAACCTGCAACTGTCAGTGGAGCTGCTGTGTGGTTGAGCACAGAGAGCGAGTTCAGAAAGAACCCACAGCAAAGTGGAGCTGACGACTGATGGCACTGATGCTGCTGTATACAAGCTATAAGTCGCCAATGTGTCAATATTTTTTTTGATTGTGACAAATTGTGTTGTTCTGATGAACAATATCATTAAAGAGAGCATAACTGGACCAGATTAATTACTTCTAGTGCAGCACAGTATTTGAAAAGCAGAATAAAAGTCACTGTATCCACAGATTTAAATAGCAGTTTTTCAATCTGGCCACGAAGCCCTGCTGGTTTCATCCTATATAAATAAAAATAATGCGTGGCTACGACTTAGTAAGGCGTGGGAGTGAGATAATTAAGTCCTGGCCACAACTTGCTGAGTCATGGGAATGAGATCCGAATGTGCAGCCACTACTTATTAAGGCGTGGGAGTAAGATAATTAAGCCTTGACCACAGCTTAATACCGCATGATCTTGTTCCCATGTCTTACTAAGTCAAGCCCACGACTTAATTATCTTGTTTCCATGCCTTACTAAGTTGTGGCCACATGTTAGGATCTTGTTCCCATGCATTAATATGATGTGGTTACATTATTATTATTTATATGATATGTCTTCAGCAAGGCAGCAGTAAGTTACCATTCTAATATTTACAATACTGTTTGTATCATTAATGCTATGAATGCAAAGTATTGTCCGATACTGTGATACTGTGATATATTCACAAAATATCGTGCTTTTGAAATGAATCATCATCATGTTGAATAAAACATTACATCAACACAGTCATTCCAGTTTACTGACTGATGATAATCATGTTGTAGATGCATTAGGTTGCATTTTTACAGAAATTATGTACACATTTGAATCAAGTTTCATTTTTCAGTTTAAGTATATTTTAATAAACTTCTTTGAACAGCTTTTCTCCATTTGGCAAAAGCTTGATTTGCCAATTTGCTCACTGGTGACGCCCATATGCGCCAACGCCTGCTATTCTCTCAGTGCCAGACTGAACCCGGTCAGTGAAGTGAAAGAGAAAGCTCATGCAATGCGGGACAGCAGCGGAGGAGAGAGGGAACAGAGAATGAATGAGAGAGAAAGTCAGTTATCGATATCATAAATATCGCAAATAAATCACTGATAATTACCAAGTTTTTATACATATGATACGCAATGGGTTCCAAAAGAGATCACACTGAAAATGTGGGATTTTTTCCTTTTAAATCTGAAAATAAACAACAGAAAGATGCAGAATTTTGGAAAAATGAACCAAAAAAATGTATGCATCTAAAACATGGAAGAAATATTATGGATTCTGCATAGGCTGCTATTCAAATTGAAGACAATTCATGACATTGACAATGTTTAAAAAACGGCCTTTGTATAAAAAAAAAAGTCAGATTTTTTCTTTCTTTTTCAGACTTATTCTTTCCATTGAAGCTCATATTCATGCTGATTATATAATTTGTAATGAACAATTTCGTATTAAAATAGAAATGAATGCAAAATAGAAGCATTTTCACCAGCGAATTTAGACCTTTGGTCCCACTGTATATTACATAGGACTGAGTTTCTGCTGTTTGGGTTGTTAAGAAGTGTGACAGTTCAATTATGTCAGCAGATATTATCAGTTATTGTAATTTTTAGCCTATTAAAATCAGTATTAGCCACAAACTCCAAATACAGGTCAGGTGCTGGTTATCATACAGGGTAGTGATGGACAGCTTCCAGGTTTAATGATGTCCAAAGATACTTTTTTTATTTTTATAATGACAGTATCTGTGTACAATTAGCATCTTTTTAAAAAGTGATGGTGAAGTAAATGTCCTACTGCGCCCCCCAGCAAAGCACGCAGGGGGTGCCACATGTTCACAGCTATAATCCAAACAGTAATCAGCAGCAGTGCTTGTAAAAATGACTTATTTATTCAAATTGCCGTTGATTTTTGCTCAATAAAAAGTCTATTAATATACTACCTGTGGTGAAACGATGTCAGTGTGCTTTTTAAATATTTTCAGTATATTTTCACAACACTATGATAATACAAAAAAATATGTAGAGATAATGTTGGTCACTGATGTCATGACAGGAAATGTTCATGTCATTTTTTTCAACCTGTGCAGAGCAGCCTCATATAATCCTAGCTCCACACTGTGCGTGCGTATATGTGTGCTGGGATCAGCTCTGCTGCCTGTGCCAGGCGAGGGTGGTGCTTGGCACAGCATGACTCAGCAAAGAGGGTTTGGGAAGGTTTGTGTCGGCGCCAAGAGCGGAGATGGCAAACATGGCAGGATACACACCGGAGGAGATCTCAGACCCAGCATTTCCTCTTAAAATCACACAGACGCACAATGTTGTATCGACAGAGTCCTCACACAAAAGCTGCCCGTTTGAAATCTTTGTGAATGTGGATGCACGAAAACATCCAGGCTTGACGAGCAGCCAGACAGAAGGTGCCGTTCGTCCTGTGCCCAGCAGGGGGCAGCATTTAGCTCTTTACGTTTTTCTAAGCGACTAAACACAAACGGAACTGTGAGTTCTTCCACAGTCAGGTGCAGTGAGCTCGGAGGAATGAGGAGAGGGAGTGATCATAAGAGAGCGTGTGTGGGTTGTTTTGAGTGACAGCTGTGTTTCTGTGACAGCATACAGGCCTGGATGACAAGCGCCAAACACCATGGCACCATATACCAAAGAGTATTGCATGAGTATTGAATATACTAGTATTGTTCTGTTTTGCTGCAATATAGAAAAACACACTGGTGATTCAAAAACGCAAAAAAGTCTAGTTAAAAGCAGTCGGAGCAGTTTGGTGCAAATGTGGTGTCATCATACAGACAGGAATATACAACATTTTTACATTAGATTTATTCTCATATAGGATAATCCACCCGCATAAGGAAAGAGAAAGTCAAAGGAAGATAGGTGAACACACAGGAGTTTCCAAAACTGGAGCTCAAGAAATTATTAAAAGCTAAGAGCTAAAATGGGACCCCTAGCAACCACCTGGAAGACCTCACCTGCAAGCAGGCAGCCTAGAGGCTAATTTGTATAAACAGTACATGATTATTATCTATCTACACTAAAAAAGGATGCAATCTGTAATTCCTCTTACTAATTTTGTTTGTTTTATATTTTAATCTTGTCATATGAAGCATTAGATATCAAGACG